GTTATTATCCCTCATACTTCATTCACTTCCGAACGAAATTTGAATATTTCAATTTTTGTTTCCGTACCCCTTTAAAGAACACAACTGTGATGATTTAATGAATGATGATGATGAAATAATTTCGACTAAAGAGAGTGACCACAAGGGTATACTGAAACAACAAAACTAACAATGATGAAACCTAGAAATCTATTAGTGCCTTCCCTGTGTTTTGCCATTGAGTGAAAGAATTTTCTTGGCCTATATTTTTGTTAGAAACAGGTGTGATCCGTCCGTCTGTTTCTTTTTTTTTAATCTTGATGTTCTGCATATTTTTAATTTCCTAGGTTGAAAGCTCAAGGCATTCCCTGTTGTTTGTTCAATCACATTTACCCCAATGTTAGTAGGTTGCTTTTTTATGTTTACTGTCCTTGGGTATGTCAGGGGTTGTGAACAGTAAAACGCTGTAAGGCCAAGGAAGGAATTCCCTTTGTAAAGTGGTGGCAAGCAGAAGAGAAATAGTAAAGACTGACTTCATGTCTTCTCCTGCGTTTTCTTTTTTGGGTCGCCTATTCATTTTTGCCCATTAATACTCAGCTGTGTTTGATACTTCTCTGCGTTTGTGTCATCCTTCAGAGAACCCGTCTTTAATAAATTATGTGTTTAGCCTGTTTAGCTAGCTTGCACCCTCCTTTTTGTTTTTGTCCATTAATAAATGACTGTAGGATTCAACTGCAAGCACGGTGTTAATGCATACTAATAAATAGCAGCATACTTTTATTGACTAGTGCTGATGATTGGACTAGTTAGTAGCCAATTATTGAAAAGAAAGCATAAAGAATATGGGAACAGAGGATATGAACACAACACAGCGCTGTGTTGATCTCCTCCTTCTTGTCCGTGCCATTCACATTCCATGTTTTTAATAACACATTTTTTAATAATTTTCTGCTTGGTGTCATCTGTATACGGGTTCATTGGAACGACCCATCTGCTATTGCATTCACTTTAGGGCGACTCCCCCTTCCTCATGGTGCCATCGTTCAGGAAGTGCAAGGCGGGTGTCACTCTCACTCTTGTGGTTCAGTTCCCCAGGTTCCCATACCCTTACAAAAATATGTATGGACACTTCTAGGACGTTCTATAGAGCAGCGTCCATAGGCAGAACAAAAGGCGTCTATAGGCAGACCACGACCTCTGTTGCCTCCGTGAAGTCGTCCTATGGCTGCCCTATAGAATATTGGCCAACGGACGTTCTATGGACGTCCTATTCTATGGATGATGTGTGGTCATCCTATACCTCTCTATGGTAAGACGCCATATAGAGTCCATAGGGACTCTATACAGAGTCTATAGGGTGTCTGCAGAAAACCCATACGAAGACTACAAGGAGTTCCTAGGGAGTCCACAGGTAAGCCATACAAGGTCTACACAGGGTCCTCATGGGGTCTGCAGAGAAGCCATACAAGGTCTACAGGGAGTCCCTACAGGGTCCGCAGAGAAGCCACTCAGTCTGCAGGGGGTCGGCTACGGGGTCCGCACCGACCAACGTTTCTAGAGCAAGCCAGTTGGGAAACGCTAAAGAGCATGCTCTGAAAAAGCGGCACCGATCTGTACTCGAAAACCGAACTAATTGCGATCGCAACGCCGCCATTCCACCCGCAGCGGCCACTCGGATAACTGCACGACCGCGTCTGCTGGTTTGGGACTATCGATATTCGACAGCATGTGAGTGTTCTGCTTTGGCTTTAATCGGCCACTTTGGTGCCGAAACATATACGGTAGAAGAGGGGTTTCAGGGATGCCAACCCTCTTCTCCCATGCGGACGCGCCGCGGATTGCAACCGAAGTTAGGACGCAACCAAGTCAAAACGCGCTACCTGAAGTCGCCGGTGAGGCATGGCTGTAAAAAGAAATATTTATTGTGCCACAAAACCCTGTAAGCTAAAAGGGTAAGCAAACATCACGCCCTTGTCATTTTGTACTATCTCCAATAAAAGTTTCTACAAAAAGAGCTTTTTCCCATTTGTTTTTACGCAAAAACGTGCTCTGTAAAAGTCATTTTAAAGAGTGTAGGGTCCTTAGGGGTCTGCAAAGAAGCCATACAAGGTCTATAAGGAGTACGTACGGGGTTCACAGGGGAGCCATACAGGGTCCACAGGGAAGACATACAGGGTCTACAGGTGCTCCTTATGGAGTCTGCAGAGAAGCCATACAGGGTCTGCACGGAGTCCCTAAGGGGTCCATAGAGAAGCCACTTTAACCGATGGTGGTACCGCGGTGTGATAATCGCACTCCCTAGCTCCTGGATGATTGGCCTCATAATAAAATGGATTGCCTACACTTTCCTGACGTGAAAAAAAAACATAAAGTAAGGTTTTGATACTGCGCGTATACAGCATAGCTAGAATTACTTACGCGTCGCGCGCAGACCCAGCCTAGTATACCGCTGTTTTACGACGATCATCCAGATGACCACAATTTCGATAGGCACCAGTGCGCCCCCTATGGGTTGCGAAAGTTGCGAATATCTACGGGGGCCGCAGCGACCCACATATGTCTACCTCCCACTGAGAAAGTAAAAACATTATTCAGGCACATACTAGACACTTCCATCTCCACAATGAACATGCCCTGAGGTTGGATATGCCTCCAGACATCAATGTATCATATTGATACCCGGAACTTAATTAACAACTCTTTAACTCGGACACCTCAATACACCTAAAGAAAACGTCTACCCGGCATCACTTTATTAATGCACCAATATATAGCTCACATCATAGAGAGGCAATAGGATGTCCATAGACTCACCGGGACCATAGAACGGAAATAGGAAGGAATGAAAAACTTTGTCTTTCGCGAAGATCTCTATAGCGTTGTTGTGTCCATTCTGTGGCAAACCAGTGGTACATAGACGGTCTAAGAACTGTCTACAGGAATCCATAGGATGGACAAAGGGGTAATAGAACGGCAAAAGTATGGACATAGGACGTCCATACATATTTTTGTAGGGGTAGGTTTCAAGCTGCTAGCCAAACTGAGCAGGGCCTTCCAGCCCTGCAGGAAATGTCAATTCCACTCTTTTAGACGTAGACACCCACATTTTGCGTGTACGTGAAAGAAGCTCCAACAGAGAGGAAACAAAATGATTGGCCTTTTTTTAATGCATCTTGTTCTTTTGCTGAGGACATACATAAACGTTACACGCTATTGTACATTCAGTGGTGCGACTTAATTTAGGAAGAGCACTTTTTTATATATAACTTTTATATAAAGAAAAAACTCAATATAATGGTCGGGCATAAATGGTTGCTATGAACAGTCCTATACATTTTCACATTACCTGATATCACCAAAAGAGTAGAGTAGCGTAGGGCTGCAATGCACCAATTACGACTTTGTAACCAATTAATAGTTGGCATTTATTTGTTTATTACTATTGGCTATTATTCTTTGACAGAAAGAATAACCGGGCGAGTTGGTACGGTGGTAGTCTTTGAACTCCATCAAATATTCAGGTTTGACATTAGTTAATTTTTTCCGCCTTTTTTCATGTTTTTGCCTTTTCTAGCTGCTCTGATTTTTGTAAGGGCTTTCGCCACTACTAAAAAACGTGACATCTAAACTCCTTTTATTTTTTGCATCACACAATCGTAAACTTAAAAAGTGTGCCGGTTCGGTAAACGCGAAGAGACCTAATTTCCAAGGGTGAAACCTCTAAAAACAATGGACAAGTAAAAGAAACAAACACAGGGCGTTGTTTGTCCGTTGTTTTTAGCACTTTTACCCTCGGAAATATGACGAAGAGACCGCGCGTCTCTACGCTCAGGCGTTAGCTTGTGCAAAAAATCATGCTACATGCACTCTAAGAAAAAAGGGAGCGTGACTTGCTCCCTTAGGGGAGCAAATACGCTGACACAACCATCGCTCCCCTAGGGGAGCAACTGTAGCGGGAGCAACTGTTGCACCCCGTCCGTTAGTCCCTCACACTAGCACCCCCAGGACCAACTGTTAGGCCCTTGCACTTGGACCCCTGGGACTAACTGTTAGGCCCTTGCACTTGGACCCCTGGGACTAACTGTTAGACCCTTGCACTTGGACCCCTGGGACTAACTGTTACACCCTTTCAAATGAACCCCGAGGACCAACTGTTAAGCCCTTGCACTTGGACCCCTGGGACTAACTGTTAGGCCCTTGCACTTGGACCCCTGAGACTAACTGTTGCACCATTTCAATTGAACCCCGAGGACCAACTGTTGAGCCCTTGCACTAGGACCCGTGGGAGTAAATGTTACTCCAAGACATTTGGTCCCCGGGGACTAAATTTTAATCCTTTACATATGATCCCAAGGGACCAAATGCTTCGTCTCCTGGGACTAAATGTTCCCCTGTTTCGAACCGTGGTTAAAAGCGCTAAAAAGACGAACACAAGAGAGAATACAAACAAAGGAGCTTCTCTCTTGTGTTAATGCTTTTAGCACTTTTAGCCATGGTTCAAAACGTTCATCACCAACTAGCACAACAAGTACTTTTAGCTCCCCTAATGATGGACTCAATATTGCAGTGTTGGGAATGACATTGTGTGGTTCAAGACAAGAATAGCTTTATTTTTGCATAAACATGTGTTCGACATTTTAAACAATTAGTACATGGCGCAGCACTTCCCTTTAAACTAAGGCGAAAAAAATTGAGTATTACTTTTCCAGGAAACTGGACTTCATATATACCTTAAATCCTCATTTACTTCTTCTGCCACATGGCATACAGACGTTTAAAAAAAAAAAGTCTAATTTCACATTTGGCAAAACAATAAAAGCAGAAACTTGATAAAATGAGCGTGCTCGTCGAGTTATGGGATATTGAGGAAAGCAAGAAAATGGGACAGAAACGGGACGAGACATCTTTGCTGGTTTGTCCACAACTACAGCTTAGAAAGCTTAGAGAAGCCTCCCCCTTCATCCCACTTCGAGGTCAGTTCCTTCATTCCCTTCCCCCCCCCCCCTCCCCCCTCCCCCGCACCCCGCCTATCATTACCTATCTTTCTGAAGCAGGCTGTCGCCACGGCTACCGCGGTAGCTGTGGGTCAAACATGTTCCTTCCTCCTCATCCTCCCCTCCTTTCCCCTATCTCCTTGGGTATCCGCTGCGATGGTTGTCGTAGATGGACCAGCAATAAATGTGTTTGCTGCCAGTTGGAAAGATGTCTCGTCCCATTTTTGTACCACATTTTGTTGCTTTATTCAATATCCCAGGAAAAGCATGTGGAAGGTATTCTTGAAATAAACTGAGCACCAGCTTAGCCATTGATTATGCCAATTGCCATCAGCACAAGGGGGCTGGCCACGAGCCCACTGTCAACTCCTATCATATGGGACAAGAGTTGAAACGTTCTGGTCGCCTTTGGAGGAAATTCCATATTCAACGCCCAATACAGCGCAGTCATTGTGCTCACTGCAGCCAGAAGAGTTGGTTCTGCGATTTGCAGCTCATCAACAGACACAACAAGTGAGGTGGCATCATAGATGCTGCTGCCTTCGTAGCCCACAGCTGGATATGTTGGAAGTTCTGCAGGGTCCTAAAAAAAGTGTAGAAACAAGACAAAATTATGTTAAGAGGCGCTGAAGTTCATAAAATTCTTGAGATTGCAGTTTTCTTTTTAACTACAGCCCTTAGACTGATTTTATAAAATTAACACGCAGATTGCATCCCCACATGCCTTACATGAGATGGCATTCTGGCCATGACACCAAAACACAAAACATCCCACAGTGAAATGTGTGCTGTTGCATACCTTCATTACCATCCTACTACATTTAATTGGTGCTCTAGAAGGTCAGCTGTCATTATAAGTCGAAAGGACGAGGATGAGAGAGAAAGAAGTACACAAAAGAAGCGCTTGTGGTCACTCTCCCTCGTTTTTGCTCTTGGCGCTTGTGTTTATAATGAATAAACATATAAGCAACTAGCCTAACAGAGAATTTTTGGGCAGCTGCTGCATACCAAGCACATCCATTTGCATCACTACAACCTTGTAGATTTCCACTTCCCCAGAACAAACATTTTTCTCCCCATGAAAACATATGCTTGTTTAACAAAGATATTAAATTCCAAAAAAGCAACAAATAAAGCATACAACATTACGTAAATACATTCTTAAGAGGGTACTCCACCAATTTTTCGAGCTACCCAGACTAATAACTTATTCTAAATACCCAGGCTTTGCTCTTCCAGGCCCGCTACTCAGTTTCTTTAAACTCAGCATAGCTATTGAGAAAATGCATAATCAGTTGATGCCAAAATCAACATTCAAGGTTCTGCGTGCTTACCAGTGGCGTGACGTCACGGGCGATAAGACTTAGATTGAGCCAGCACATTAGGAAACAGGCTGTGCCGCAACTTTTTAGTGAAGGCTGGAGTAAGCTTCCCTAGCCTTCATTTCACGCCATAAAATGTCTTGTAACCAGTAAGAAACCAGTTTTACTGCCTTCCCCTCTTTTACACACACACATACACAGCATCAAGTTTTAAACTTCAATAAGAAGATTAAGCGCAAAAAGAGAAAACTATTTAAAGCTTGTGAAATCCTGCCCCACCTTTTTTACTCAAACAGTGATTGTATGCAGAGGGCGAAGTGAAGAGGTTGCTCAGAAGAGCTTTTTCAGAATATAAGGTAAACTTGACGTTGGTTCAAGTCCCAAGTGATTCAATGCACTAGAGGGGCATTCGCGGCGAGAAGTGACCAAGAAGGGTAGCCAGCGCGTCGACCGGCCTGATACTAGCTAATTCATCACAACCAAACTCAGGGGAAGCAATTTTCGAACCCTCCCTTGGCTGCAACTCCCTTGATCCCTTCCGCAAAATAATTTAGAGTTAAGCTAGAGATGTGGTGTCAGTCCATCACTTTACTAACTTTCTTATATACAAATTATTTATCAACTAGCAAGTAGTCTTTATTTTAAAAGCACCACAAGGTGCACAAGCCCTTTTAACTTTTATTTACCAGATTCTTGCTCCACAAACCCAAAGCCGGGGACGGCTTGTTGTCGTCAGAGCGCTTAGGAAACTTGGGCTTTTCTGGAGAAATGATTGGAGGATACAATCTGTTTTGACTCCACCGCACTGCTAAGTACTGTGAAACTGCTAGTAAACATTGAGGTACAAACTAAAAATCTCTGGACTCCTGTCAATCCATTTTGTTTGCTACCGCACCGGCAATATCCAGCCACGAAAGTCGCCCAACAGGAGAGCCACAGAGTGCTTGGCGGCATCCGTTTTGCTGGAATCGCGAATGTAACGCAATATCCCGAGATAGCCCACTCAAAACTGAGGGCACATTAGGTGAAAATAGGGGGTGAGCTAACCTTCAGTGTGCAAAATTTAGCCCACCTTAAGAAATGGAGATTCATGCAGAAAATAAGGATGGGCTATATTTCAGGGGATGGGTCTTCTCTCGGGATATTAGGCTTCAAAGCTATGAAAGAGTATTAATGTCCTGTTCCAATTACATTGCTAATTGTTAAAAAGCAACTCCATTCTATTTTTACGACTACTGGGTTACAATTAATTTAACTAAGTCGGCGACCCCGAAACACGAGATATAATTTTTCCGGTGGTGTGTATAGTATTGTAAATATCAGATGTCAAAGTTTCGTGTGGGCGACTTGGCGAAGCCAAAACTAGCAGCGTAGCACGTTGCCAACACTTATAATGAGATGCCGTCGACGCTGTGACGCAATTGTCATCCAGCGGTCCCGCTATACGCATGACCGGCTCAGTTGCACGAGGATTTTCAAGACATAGAGTAAGCTGCTCATTTCTTTTTCTCTTCCTGCTCCGCTTCGTAAATGAACATCAAATGCAGTAAGTGTTAGTATGTATTTATAAAGTTTCCGCTTGTAAAGCGACTGCTATGAATAATAGGACACGTGCAGTGCAGGTGCAGCGCGGCTGTATCGGTATAATTGTGTGTTGCTCGCGAACAAAAAGAAGGAAGAATGGGAGACAGATGCTGTTCACAAGCAGACACATGAAGGCTGGGTGCCTTCATGTGTGCTCATGAAGGCACCCTAGTGCAGGGGTGGAACTTCTAAAATGTACTTGGGAGCAGCTGAAACAGCTGTTTTGGAGGAGGTTGGGGAGCAGCTAAAACTATGTTCTAGAGCAGGCTCGGAGCAACTCAGATCAGTTTTCACTGCACTTCAGCTTGTGCCTTAGACAAGCACGGGAGAAATTTCAATTGTGCTTAGCAGCATAAATGAACATGAGTAGTTAGAGACCTAGGTAAATGGGATAACAGTGTAACAGATGCGAAAACTTGAAACTTTGTGAGCCCTAATGAGAACCAAAAAGCAAGTACCATATGTTTCTGAAGATAGTGTCGTTGGTAATTTCTGAGTGGCTTTCAGCTGCTCAAAATGCAAACCAGCACTGCTTATCGCACAACCCACAAGTGCTCTACAAAATAATTATATGTGCGAACCACGTGACGTGCGTAAGCAACGGACGTGCAGTTGCACGGAGGAACAGGGCAACGAATTTTGAGTCTATCCTATTGTGCAACTCAATATCGAAGCAGCAGGCTACGATTAACAGAGTTATCGTATTTGAAGCGATAAGCATGAGCAAGGTTAAAGTATGCCGAGCAGATCTACCGCTCGCGTGAGGGCTGCTGGCCCGCAAGGTTTCGGATCGGACCGCATTTCAATTCTATCAAATCATGATTTATCTTGCGGGAATGCAGGTTCCAAGTTCTAACAATGAAGTACTAAAAGGAATTGTTTGCTCATTTGTTTTCGACTGGCTGACGTCCGGATCTTGGGCCGCAGAGCCTCCGGCAATCTGACGCTCAACGACTCGACCTCACCTCGGCCGACTCTCTTAACCACTTATGGTTCAAGAATAACAATCCAGTCGCAGGTTGTGTAGCGCTAAGAATGCGAGTTTTTTCACGCGCTTCCGACTCGGGATACACAGGAAGAATAAATAGTACAAAAGATTGCAAGGCCGACCAAGCTAAACACGCTCATTGTTGCCAATCGAGTCGATAAAAACCGAAACCAAGACAAAATACTATTTTTTTGAAGCATGTTTTGTGATTTAGCGCATAATGGCGCAAGGTATTGGTTGTGGCACAGTTTCTGCAACATGGCGCAGGATGGCGCAGACAAATGCGTCTGGCGCAAAATGGCACAAATGGCGCAGCCATGCCACCCCAGTAGTGTACGCTTGTTAGAGTTGCTGCGGCCGACAGTCGAACGGCGCTTGTTTATATCGGTGAAATTGTGCGAGTCTCACATACACACAACACTGTTAGCGCGAACACGACATCGGCACATTTTTGCATTTTACTTCGAAAGAGTATTGGCGACTACGAAATTTTATCACCTATATTATAGACCTAAATAAGCTATTTCCGTTGCAATAAAAAGTTTTGATGATATCACTTGGTTTCTAAGACAAAAACTGGAATAACCGGCGATCACTTGTTCGCGCTAACAGTGTCGTGCTCTACTTCAACTTTGTCGTAATTGTTTCGGACTTACGTACTATGCATACTATGTAACTCCAAAACACCTAGGAAAATTCTTAAAGTATGTGATAAGTGTAGGACGCCTATGGAAACATCTTGAAATACGTAAAATTTGTGGCACCTAAACAGTCGCTGATTGATGGCAGGTAGCCAGCTAACCTGCTTGTGAGCAGCATCTGTCTCCTATTCTTTTTCTTTGCTGTGCGCAAGCAACTAACAAATAATAGAGCCATGCTGCACACGCTGCGCTGGCACTGAACACGTCCTATTATTCATAACAGTCGAATTCGCTCTTAGACCAGCAGGTTTATAAATACACACTAACACTTATTGTATTTGGTGCACATACACGAAGCAGAGCGGTAAAATAAAAAAGAAATGTGCTGCTTAATTAGTCTTAAAAGTTCTCGTGTGACGGAGTCAGTCGTGGCTACCACGGGATCACAATTACGTCACGGCGTAAACGCGCAGTTCATTATCAGTGATGTCAATGTGCTACGCCGCTAGTTTTAGCTTTGCCGTGTCGCCGACATAAACCTTTGACATCTGATATCTTCAAAGCTATAAACACTACCGAAAAACAAATCATATCTCGTGTATTATGATCACCAACTCCATCATATCCCCAAAATTGAAAAATGAAGTAAGGTTGCTGTTGAAGGGGCAAGCAGGTCTCCAAAACTTACACTTGGCCGGAGGAATGCCACACTCCTTTCCTTGACCAGAGCTGGCAGTGCACACAGTGCGGCTTTGGTCAACATTTCTGCAATAACAAAAGCCACAAAGACAATTAGTACAAAATCAAACAAGAAATGAGGCTGCAGAAATTTCGAAAGTCGAACAGTGTAAAAAAGTTCCCTTGTTAAAATTAAATTACAAAATCCTGGCTGTTTCCTGTGCACACATCAATCAAATTGAAATGTGGAAATGCAAAACTGTTCAGTCATATTAGCTTAGACACCAAAGATACTATTCGCTTCTTTGTGCGACACAATAAACCCTCATGTCAGGACATTGCATATCAAAGTTTTCACTGCAGTTACATATATATTTTTATAACAAATAGATCAAATCGAAACCAAGGCACTCATGCAGTATGGTGGGGTGCCACACCTTTCCAAAAGATGATAACCAGAAGTGCAATCACTAGCGCTCTGCAAATGTCTACACCAAAAAAAAAAAAAAAAAAAGATTTTGTGGTTAGAACGCTGGAAGTCACGTGAATTGCTCCACTCCTCATGGTCCCATGCTCCCCAAAACCACAAGTAAGCCTTTCCATGTGCCATCCTAAGAGACAAAATTTTGTTCCATTTGCTTGGCCGCACTGGAAGCTTTTTTGTGCTTTTTCGTAAAAGTTAAGATGTACTGGATGTTGTCAGTAGCTGCCGTAAGAAACCTACTTTTAAAGGGATACTACAACGAAATTTCGGCGCTCATTTTTTTGTCTATATGTGTTCAAAAGAGCAGTATCACATGGAACATACCAATATCTTGTTAAAAAAGTCTCGAAAAGGAATTTTAAAACGAATTAAACGATTAGCAATGAGCACCTGGTGGATGTCGCTAACGCCTCATTTCTAATGCTCGTCTAGGAACCTTGACAGCTAGTGACAGAGGTTGTCTCGACTCCGGCCACGACGAGAGAAGGGGGGCAGGAGGAACTCCCCTCTTCTCGAGAATCCCTTTTGTGTGTCGCAGAAGTCGCTATTGTCCCCCTAGAAGACTATAGAAGATTAACCCGTCACTCAAAATTCGTACAAAAGCAGCCGCTTCGGTGGCTGGAACGACTAGGCCATCCTCTCGACGTCAGCCTCGCCGTAGCTTTGCTCGTCCTGAGACGACCTACGTCACGATTGCATTGGATGTCACGTGCTCTAAGCTGGGCCTTCTCCGAGCGCTTGCCAGAGTGGGCCGTTTATAACGAAAAATACAGCCACCAGGATCAAAATACAAACGTGCGATTGTCATTTACGGATATTGTGGATCATATTCAACCTATTTTTGAACACGACGGGAATATTTCAAATTTCGTTGAAGTATCCCTTTAAAGGCCATCAATATGACAAAAATATGTTGAATACAAAATGTAACACCAATCACCGGAGGAAAGTGAATGTCATTTTCATAATGCTGGACGATGTGGTGGCAAGATAAATGTATTGCCAGTGTGAGAAGTGTACATGAGTGACTGCATTAAATCTGATAGTACAGCCTTGATTTAGATGCTGAACTGACCAACCAAGAGCTTTCAGAACAAAGTTTTAGAATGCTCGCAAAGGTAAGATTGTAGCATGAAAAATTCAGACAGGTAGGTCGCGTAGTCGTTGCCCAGTCTCCAAACTGAAAATGTTTGCTGGCTTGCAAATCCAAGAGATATGGCATATTTACAACTTGTTGATTAGGTCCGTTAAGGCGGGTGCGTTGGACTACTTGAATTGGAGCCTAGCCAGTTTGGCTGCTGCCGGGAGACGGGCAGAAAACTTAAAAGACTCGGGACGGCTGGTACCTGTTACTCGACACTTGAATTTGAATGGCTCTGCAGCACACTCCAGAGAAATTTCAGGGAGCGGTATAAAACCAGTGCTGTTGCATTTGCATCCATCCTGTCACAATATGGCACAGACTCAAATATGACAGTGATTGAATGGTTGCATAAGCTGGCTGTAGCTTGAGGGGATTTTTATCACAAGATACGGGTGACTCAATGAAAAATCTAAGGCCAAGTAGATCGGCTTAACTGAAATTCCAATAAGAGCAGAGGCTGGATTCACAAAACGATCTCACAATGAAAAAAGTCTCTACAACGAAACTTGAGAACAAATCCGTATTCACCAAACAAAATTGTCGTATAATTTGTGTGATGTGCGATGAAGTCCTACAACAACCTCCAAGGTGTCTTACTAACTTTTTAGTCAACATGGCTGCACGTCAATTGGATACCTTGCCGTGATCCCGCGACAACCGAAGAGTTTAAGGTACAAGCGAGGGCCATTTGTTTTGCATGTTATCGTGCGTTCCGGTTTCAAGCAGCAAGAGAAGAGAAAGGAGGATGCAAAAATACGCTCTCAGGACATAGCTCAGGATTCAGCCTAGCAACCAAATTTGTCCTACAAGGCCTAGAAGGGTGAGACGGCTAGACGCGCCATAGTGAATCAGTGGAAGGGGCCGCCCGTATGACTCTTGAGCGGACCTGGTGGACCGTTCTCGTATGGATAGCGTGATATTGATTTGGTGATTAGAAGTGTCCCCTCCATCGCTCGGTAGTGATTTTCTAAAAAGGTGGACTGCGGTGGCGTCCCGGGTAATGTGTGTTGGTAGTGGACGCATTCGCAAAGTGGTATTAGGGTCCAGCACATTGGATGCGTCGTTTCATTCGACATAGAGCTCAAATAAATGCCATACAGATTTCTTTTGAAGCATGTAGTATGTAGAAACGGGCAGGCAGGTCGAGCATTCATCCTTGCGTTACGACTCCACAATCCATGTTATGTCTGGTGGGCAGATTTGTGAGCATTTTGCGCGACTCCCTTTTTCAAATTGTTGAATTAACAGCGCAAATACGACAGGAAGGAGAGATAAGGGAGACAGGATAGAGCGCTGAACTAACAACTGACGTTTAATAAAAAGAGAAAGAGGATGAAGAACCGAAGAATGCTTTTAAAACATGCATAATGAAAACCCGCAAAAACATATGCTATGGTTTGAGTTGCCTGAAAATGAATTGCTAAGAATACCAAGCTTTAAGCTTGTCGCTTAAATGACTTGTTGAAATCGATTGAGTCCTGGGACGACGTGAATAGAAATTAAGGTAGAAAAAAGAAAGAGGAAGTTTACGTTTAAAATATTCACCGAATCTAAGGACCGTTAAAGATCGCGACTTAAAAAGTAAAGTTCTTTTTGTGACAAGGCCACGGACGGCGCGCTTACGCAGGCATCCCCACAGGACAGAATAACCTGTGCCTCGTAGAGCTCGCGAGTTCGTCGTTCCCCTAAACGTTTCAGGATTTTTGTTTTCCTGAACAAGGCGGAGCACTGGCAGTCCCTGACATGTATGGCAAAGTGGCCTGATGGCGACGACTTTAGTGACACGGCATGTTCTCTTAGACGATCGTTGACACACCTTCCTGTCTGACCCACATACACTTTCCCACAAGTAAACGGTACTTCGTAAACGACCGCACATTGGCATTCGACGTATCTTTGTTGATGTTGAACTCGCGGAGTTCGACATCAACAAAGATACGTCGAATGCCAATGTGCGGTCGTTTACGAAGTACCGTTTGTTGATGTCGAACTCGCGGAGTTCGACATCAACAAAGATACGTCGAATGCCAATGTGCGGTCGTTTACGAAGTACCGTTTACTTGTGGGAAAGTGTATGTGGGTCAGACAGGAAGGTGTGTCAACGATCGTCTAAGAGAACATGCCGTGTCACTAAAGTCGTCGCCATCAGGCCACTTTGTTATACATGTCAGGGACTGCCAGTGCTCCGCCTTGTTCAGGAAAAAAAAAATCCTGAAACGTTTAGGGGAACGACGAACTTGCGAGCTCTACGAGGCACAGGTTATTCTGTCCTGTGGGGATGCCTGCGTAAGCGCGCCGTCCGTGGCCTTGTCACAAAAAGAACTTTACTTTTTAAGTCGCGATCTTTAACGGTCCTTAGATTCAGTGAATATTTTAAACGTAAACTTCCTCTTTCTTTTTTCTACCGGAATTTCTATTCACGTCGTCCCAGGACTCAATCGATTTTAACAAGTCATTTAAGCGACCAGCTTAAAGCTTGGTATTCTTAGCAATTCATTTTCAGGCAACTCAAGCTATAGCATATGTTTTTGCAGGTTTTCATTATGCATGTTTTAAAAGCATTCTTCGGTTCTTCATCCTCTTTCTCTTTTTATTAAACGTCAGTTGTTAGTTCAGCGCTCCATCCTGTCTCCCTTATCTCTCCTTCCTGTCGTATTTGCGCTGTTAATTCAACAATATGATTAACCAACTAGCCCACCAGATGATCGTGATGCAGTCCCTTTTTCAATATCGCCTACGTCCTTTTAGATCCACGAGTTCTTGAAAAACTATGTGAAAATTGGTTTCCTTGCGCATGACTAAGTAAGCAAATGCGGCCCGTCTCCTTTTGCTTTAATGTCATTTGATGGCGCCAGTGACAAATCTTTTCTTGGCCTCGATAAAACTGAGCATTCGAGACCGTTTCCCCTTCGGTAGGTACCGGCATCATACTGCATGAGCACAGTAAACAAACAAGCATAATGAGACGAGCATGCCGCGACTGGCGCCGCCTCTGTTTTTCTCGAAATGCTTGTCTGCACCAGCACGGTAAGCCTCCTGATTGGCTGTTTGGGACGCTCAAGATGCCATCACCATAGCAACAGTCTGCTCTTGCGGTGTTCAGAGACTGGCGAGATGCCGGAAGTTGTAGTTTTCCTGAACGAAAACGGCGCCTTCCTCCTCTCCCCTAAGAATGCGTCTGTGAATACCGATTTCGCCTCTTACAATGCTCGTAACTTACAAATTTCTTAGCTAAGATGTCGTAATATAAGACATTTTTTTTGTAAATCTGGCCTCAGGTAGCAGAATTGTGTAGACCAATCAGTATTCCTCTTCTTCGTTCTTAAAACTCGCACGTAGCGACATTGAGCACTGCAGTTTCCTGCAATCCATATCCCTTCTGTCCACCTTGACTACTTTGATCAATTCCTACCATCAGATGGACCGTCGTCGTCTATGGCAATCCTGCGGTCCAGGTCTTCAAAAAATTCGCCGAGATGGCGTTTCCCTCTAGCAGCCTCCAGGATCCGGAGGCTGCTCCTTGCCAGGGCCGCTGTGAGGCTGTCCTGGATTGATTTTCCTGTAGCAGCAGTGAACTCCTGCTGCAGCTAGAGGACCAAAGCAAACCAAATACAGTCAACACAATGGCACTCTTCCTCTCTGGCACCCAAGTTTTCAATCTCAATAGTACTCACGATGGTACCAAGCTGATACGCTGGGTACATAGAGAGGACAGCGGCGACAGTCGGGTGCTCCGTCGTCACCCAGAGTCGCCGTGAGGCGAACGTTCTCGCCATGGCGTCGGCCACATAAACCATGTTGGGCCTGGTTTTGCAGAGTTCTCTTTGCATTTCTAGCACATGGCCGTCCACGCTTTCTTTGTCCTCTCCATCCGCTGGGAGCACCACATTCTGCAATATAATTAATGGAAGTACAGAATTTGTGTCAAACTTCACTTGATAATATAATTTAAAATAATATTTCTCAAACAATCCTTCATACCGTGCCAGGCCTGATCACGCGTTTTGGGCAAGGAGTCCTCGGCACCCTCTGCTGCTTCGGTCGCGCTGGTGCCTCTTCCTCGCCCTCTTCCGCAGCTCGCTCCTGATCCCGGAGCTTCTTGCGCTCCCGTTTTGCTTTGAAACGCAAGGCAACGTGCCAAGAGTCCTGCGTGCACAAGCAAAAAAAGAATCTCAAACAGCTGCAGAAATAATAGTGCTGAAAAAACAATAATAAAATAAACTTAAAATATACAGCACACATGGTTCACGCTAAAACTTGAAACCGAAACTGTATAACAGGCCTCCTTTCGTCTGCCATTTTCGCCGACTACCGCGCCCTCCATCCGGGACTCCAACTATATAGACCATTCCATTTAGCACTCTCTGGGCAGCACCATTTTGTTCCACAGGAGCGCCCTCTCCATACATCCGGGAAATTCAGCAGGTTCGGCGGGGTAAAATGAGAGAGAGGGCACGTGCCCGACTCCGCTAGCAGATGACAAACCGGGAGGTTGCCATTCTCCATCTTTGGGCTGTACCAGCGGGCTGTACGCAACATCAAACTCTCGCTCGTGGCTGTTGTTGTGAAGTGGTTCGCATTCTTAGAATAGTTATGGCTACTACAAAATCAGCCTATGGCTCTATGTGGTTCTATTTTGGTAAATGATCAACTAGCATATCTTTTTTCTGTTACTTAAATAGCAGTTGAGTAAGCCGGCAGTACTACCTTCAACTACTCCGTGTATTGCGGCAGGAGAGCATGTTTTTATTTATCATTTCGGACTTCCACTCATGGCCGTTAAAGGCCTACAACAGTACGAACTTTGTATAGTAAAAAAGGTACAGCAACCGGATTTACTTTTCACCAGAGACCGGCTAATCTGACACAGTTTTCCTTTTTTTTTTTATTTGCACATAGGTAACAGCGCAGTTTGACCCTGTTAGTCTTTTTATCTAGCATAGTATTACACGATAACTGGCAAACCAAAATCTGCGCATCTGCACTTTAAATTTCCAAAATGACGCTATTTTAAACAGAGTTTGCATGCCAGCCGGATGATAGGTACAGCCCACTCGGCGGAGCAGACGTCATGCGGGGTGAGAGGGGGAGGGCATTTTCTCTCTCTATTACCGTCTCTGCTATGACCCTAATTGAACGGTCTATAGGTGGCGCCACCGATTTCCAAAATGGTGGACATAGGGAGGGTTGGAGATGCTAGGTGGGTGCAGTTGCCGAGATTTGCTGGTATTCTGGGTTTACTAGGCGACACAAAGTAATACCGCTTCTAGGAGGTAGAACTAGACAAACAAGGGCACATGTTCCCATGTGGGAAAAAATCAGCGATCGGCCCTTACGTTGCTATATTTGCCTTATTGCCAACGAGCGCAGAGTGATCCTGTTGACAGCTTCTAAGATCCTATACTGCTTCTGGTATTTTGTGATCTGGATCCCTCTCTTTTTGAAGCATGCGACAACACAGTGGTGCCACGTTAAGGCTCCTTGCTCAGCCAACTGATGTGGCCATGTGGTGGAGCGCGGTGGACGAGGCGAGATTCTATGCAAGGGGTGGCCAAGCTGCGGCTCTTCGCGTGTTAAAATGTGGCTCGCGGCTCCCCCCCCCCCCCCCCCCCCCCTGCCACTTTCCTGCCTCCCTTTCGGTCACACGAGCGCTTCTCCCCAAAAAGATATTGAACGCGTTTTAAATCGAAAGACAGGTTGCAGTTTGGTAGTATTGTGCTACTCCTACCTTACGTACAGCTAGACTGCTTTTGACTCGGATAGATTGAAAGTAGTTTGAGTTTCGTTTATTGCTCTAAACAAAATATAGCCTCTCCCCTCCCCCGCGGTTCTTGGAAGTTTCGAGGTTTTGTTTGCGGCTCTTAGGCTGCCAACCTGGCCACCCCTGCTCTATGCTATCGTGTTCGCAAGGAGCGAAATGGCGAAGCTTCGAATTCTTGAAAAACAAACTTTTGCACTGTTACCTGCATTATAATTGTCCGCAAGGAACAAAATTTTTCCCTTTCTCATCACGCCTATGCCTCCAAGACCACCAATACAGTCAAACCCGTGTATAACGAACAGCAGGAAACGATACAACAAGTTTGATATAGCAAGTAGTTCAATATAGCAAAAACCATTTACAACGAACTTCCACAATGCGTTCATTATAAGGCGAGAGCTTCTCTTTCTTTCTCATCTTTTCGCTTCTGCCTTGTAATGACGCGTTGAATTTTTTCTTTTTTCTTTGCATGCGATTAGATTTTTTTTTACCTTATCTTTTCTTCTGAATCGCTTCTCTTCGTGGGCAACCGCTTTGGGCTGAAAATATTTTTTTTTCTCTGCGTGCGTGCAGTTTTTTTGTTTTTTTTTAGCTTTCTCTCCTTCTGAATTGCTTCACTTCGCTCAACTTTGTTCGGGGCTTGAGCTTTAGGAACTTTCTTTCCTACTTTTTTTTATTTTTGTTTGGGGAGGGGGGAGGAAGAGGCTAGAAGACGATTGTTTGCGCGTTTTTGGGAGCCTTCCTGGAGGGAAAAGTTTGATATAGCTAGGGTTCGGAGTTTTCAGTTTAAAACTATAAAAGTATGCCGAATCCATTTTCTAAAATTCAGTTTTAACCGGAAAAGGTCAGTCGAACCGCAGAGCCGTGGCGAGAAAGTGGAGTGACAGTGTCTATCGAAACGTGTCCAGATGTATGGGATACACGAATGTCATCACAATGTTTTGGTTTAATGTGCGCATCATCGATTGTAACATGAATTACGAAATGCCCCATGACTTCGCCATGACCGAACGTGTTTCCAAACTCGTTGTAAGGTAGACTGACTTGATGCTAGCTCTGCATGTTGTGTTGTGCCTCAAAACGTCGCACCGTGTCTCTTTTGAAGGTCACAATCGGTTCATTGTCCAATTTTGGCTCAGGCAGCGGTTCATCTCCTCAGCCTGCCAGTGTCAGCGTTGAGAGTGCATTCTCGAAGCTCAGGGTCATATTACCAAAAAACAAAGAGTGCAGATCAAGGAGGAGGACCTGGGAAAGTACATGTGCGTGTACTATAATAAGATCACATAATCCTGATGTACAGAAGGTGAAGGAAGTTTCATGTTTTTTGGGCATAGGCTTCATATCTGACTTGTTTGTACTTCTGTGTTGTTTTTTTTCCTTGTTTCTTTCACAGTTGCACACATTTGCCAAATAAAGGGTCCATTTCTCTTTCACTGTATCTGTGCCGTTATTCTTTGAGTGATCACAAATATCAGAGCTACGTACAAGGATCATCGGATCCGGTGTCCGTTGGTGTTTATTTTATACTTGCCGAAAAGAAACGATAAACTTTTTAGGCAGAGGTATACGCCGAAAAAAAACGAAAATTCAATTTTAAAATAAACACCAAAAAAAGTATGCCGAATTTTGAAAAAAAATAGAAACCGAAAACGCGGAACCCTATATATAGCCAATCTATTGTTCGTTATAAGAAGTACTTTTTACGTGCATTTTTATTTAAATTTTTCGTGAGCTAGATATTGACAATAACTCGCTGTACGTGGGTTCGTTCTAAACGGGTTTCACTGTAGTTTGGGATTCGCTGCGTACGTCATGCTATTGATAAACAACTCCCTATTAAACAAAAGAAAAACAATGGCGGAGGTGGTTCATCCTTAACATTGTGTTGAAATAATCTCCTGGAATTAAAAATGTCAGACTGGTGATTACAGATTGTGTGAACAATATATGAAGACAACAAGTTTAGATGGATATTTTTGAAAACTGCCTCGCACAAGTGAACGTTTGGTGAAAGTTAAACTGTATCACCACAAACTGCGAACGATTTTGCTACTGTACGACGAACTCAAAAGATTTCTGTGTCCTCTCCATCGGCTGGGAGCACCACATCCTGCAATGTAATAGATGGAGGTACAGAACTTATGAAAAACTCCACCTATTACTATAATTTAAAATAATTTTTATTCTCTGGACTGCTATCAATCTCCAGGAAATTGGGACTATCCTTATCAATACCTTGGTATTATGAATATCAAGACATTGATAATAAATCTATACCTTGCAATTTTCAAATGTGAGAAATTCCGCAATTTATTTTCAGGACTGTTTCTTTCAAACCTACACATGTTCCGCACACCACTTGATTCAACTGAAAAGAGGAATGACAACAATAGAGATAGTTTTGGAGCCCACGAGTTGTTTTGTCGAAGGGTATGCACTTGGGCTAGGTGGTGATCCATACTTCCGAGGGGAAAAGCGCTAAAAACAATGGACCCGTAAAAAAAACATTTTGTCACCACACTCACTGCTGCATGGCTTGTTTTTTTTTCCGCTTGTTGATGAACTTAATGAATATAAGTATGGCACTTTCTCTCGCATTTAGGTCGAAAGAGGATAAAAAGATTGAAAAATTCCATGTAAGCAGTATTTGTTCCATTGGCCAGAGCCCTTCATATTTGAAGAATGCATATCCTTTTGCATTCCAGTCACTAGGCACGTTTCGTTCACCTTGGAACACAGCAACCAATAATGCGATTTACATTCAGAAATGGTTCGGTGCAAGACAAGGTCCCAAACAAATACGCCTTGGTTGCGGGCGGAGCAGCCGGAGGACACTTGCTAGAGTGCTTCCTGTTTCCGCTGCAAGAGGGCGAGCAGTGAGCTGGAGATGTGTAAAGTTCAATGGAGTCGTGAAAAAGCTAATACATTCAAATAAAATAGTATTCATTCAACATAGTGAAAAACAGCATAAAAAAGGCGGGACAAAAAGTAGAAGACAGACACAGGGCATACGCTGACTAACAACCGAAGGTTTACTGGAACTTCCACGCGGGCACAGTGACACGCGCAAGTACATGCTCTTCTTTTTCTTTCAACCCAAAAAATGCAAACAAAAAAAAAAATTGGAAAAATAGTGTGAGAAGACAATAAAAATCTACAGCGGAACAAGAAAATTTTTGGCCTGAATCATGCGATCGCACCACGATTCTAACCATATTGGGAGGTTGTGAAACGTGCAACAAAAAAAATTGTACAATTTTTTATTTCTTTTTACAATGGCACGAGAACACAATAAGCTCATGGGCTGTGTTCACACCGCGTTCAGGACACTATAGCAAAGACCTTCACAACACTGATGCAGTGATCGTGATCTGGTCTACAGGCAAGTATATGTGCCGCTTCCTTGATCTCTCTCTCCAGCTTGCTCCTCTTGCATCCCACCACCCGGGTGTTGTCCAACGCAGGGGAACACGCCCATACTCCCTCCAGTGTATAGGTAAATGTGAAACATGGCCACTGCCGAGCGAGCTGCGTGCACGTGCAGTCACTCGTTCAAACAATGACCGGTCTTTCCAAAGTAGACCCTACCACAGCTCAGAGGAATCTCGTAGACGACCCCTTGATACAAGGCTCAAACTGCTTGGCATGCCTTGTATCAGAACAACCATTCCTAGGTTTGGTCCCGCTTGACATCACGCACAGTTTGGACAGCTTGCAGGGGGCCGTGAAGACAACGTCGATGTTGAATTTCGCTCTTACATGCTTCAGATTATGCGAGATTCTGTGAACATAGGGCAGCACCTCAAACTTGTTTAGCCTTTTCCTAGTTGCCATGTCGGGATTTTTCATCTACTTAAGCGGGGATTCAGTCACTCCTCTCAGCAGAAAGGAAGAAAAACCCTAAAGTTCCAGGCAAAGTAGCTGACGGTCGAAGTTCTCACGTACGGCGTGAGCATAGGACTTCTGTAAAGCCGAGCAGAGGCATAGGTTGGCGATACCCCATTTTTCTAGTTTAGAGTGCCCAGAGTCAAAAGGTTAAAATCGTCTTTTTGGTTCGCGGCGAGCACATCTAACAGATGTGATCGGAACCATTGAAGGACAAACGTAAGCCCAAGAACTGCAAGAAACAATCCGCCAGCAACTCTAGCGTCAAACGTAAGTGGCTCGAGCACCGTTCAAAAACTTGTCAAACAGACCGAGCGACTGAGTCCAGGCGAGTTGTAGAGGGTATGCTAACGAATACGACCAAGTCATCCACATATCTACAGATCTTAACAACAGGGACGTCGGTCAAAGCATGTGAAACAATGCGGTCGAACTTAATAACAGGAACCAACGTCCCTGTTGTTAAGATCTGCACATATGTGGATGACTTGGTCGTATTCGTTAGCATACCCTCTGCAACTCGCCTGGACTCATTCACTCAGTCTGTTTGACAAGTTTTCGTACGGTGCTCGAGCCACTTACGTTTCGCGCTAGAGTTGCCGGTGGACTGTTTCTTGCAGTTCTTGGATTTACGTTTGTCCTTCAATGGTTCTGATCACATCTGTTGGATGTGCTCGCCGCAAACCAAAAAGACCATTTTAACTTTTAAACTCGGGGCACTCTAAATTAGTAAAATTAGGTATCGCCAACCTATGCCTTCGCTCGGCTTTACAAAAGTCCTGCGCCCACGCTGTACGTGAGAGCTTCGACCGTCAGCTACTTTGCCTGGAACTTTCGGGTTTTCCTTCCTTCCTGGTGAGAGGGGTGGCTGAATCCCTGCTTAAGATGATGAAAAATCCCGACACAGCAACTATTAAAAGGCTAAACAAGTTTGAAGTGCTGCCCTATGTTCACAGAATCTTGCATAATCTGAAGCACGTAAGAGCGAAATTCAACGTCAACGTTGCCTTCACGGCCTCCTGCAAGCTGTCCACTGTGCGTGATGTCAAGCAAGACCAAACCTAAGAATGGTTCTTCTGATACAAGGCATGCCAAGCAGTTTGTGCCTTGTGTCAAGGAGGTCGTCTACGAGATTCCTTTGAGCTGTGGTAGGGTCTACTTTGGAAAGACCAGTCATTGTTTGAACGAGTGACTGCACGTGCAAGCGGCCTCGCTTGGCAGTGGCCACAGTTCACATATACCTATACACGGGAGGGAGTATGGGCGTTCCCCTGCGTTGGACAACACCCGGGTGGTGGGATGCAAGAGGGGCAAGCTGGAGAGAGAGATCATGGAAGCGGCATGAATGCTTGCCTGTAGACCAGAACACGATCACTGTATCAGTGTCGCGTCAGTGCATCTGACAAACAGGGAACTACAATTTTTCAATTGTGAACGTCCTTAGTATAGTGTCACACGCAATCCGTAAAGGTAAAAAATGCGTCCTGAACGCGGTGTGAACACAGTCCATGAGCTTATTGGGTTCCATGCCATTGTAAAAAAAAAAAAAAAGTTCTACAAGTCTTTTTTTATTAATTTTAGGACCATATCGGGGTGTTTCACAACGTCCCAATATGGTCCTAACTGTGGTGCAAATGCATCATTTGGGCCTAAGGTTTTCTTGTGCCGCTGTAGAGTTTTCTTCTCTTCTCACATTCTTTTTTCAAATTTTCTTCTTTCTTTATTCACATTTACCTCTGTCGAAAGAAGAATTAGAGCATGTACTTGCACGGGCCACTGTGCTCGCGTGAAAGTTCCAGTAAACCTTCAATTGCTAGTCAATGTACCCCAGGTGGCGGGTTCGAATACCGACCGAGGTGCCCGCAATATGACGGAGGCTTATTGCAGAGGAGGCGCCGTGTAACCGAGCTTTCGGTTGCACGTCAAAAGATCCCCAGGTGGTCCAAATTAATCCTCAGCCCTCCGCTGGGGCGTGCCAGATGCCCGTCGTAGGTTTGGCACGTAAAACCCCCAAATTTGACTTTTGCTAGTCAGAGTATGTCCTGTGTCCATCTTCTACTTAGTGTCTAGTATTTTGTTTGCACTGTTTTTCACTATGTCATTCAACCAACCAGCCCAGCAAGCAACCCATTACAATATTTATTCACTCACGCATTTGGTTCCTGTGGTGTCCTCCAGGACGGGGAAATTTCTAATAAGCCCCTTGGCAGCCTCTGCATACAGCTTGTCTGGATACCTGTAGGAAAAAGAGCAGACGAAATTGCTGAGGAACATCAGTTATCATTCACGGAAAAAAAGTGCCAGACATTGGCACTACTGGTGCCCTTGGAACAAACCTGACGGCGCACACAATTCATTCAGGACCACTACCCCTCCCATCACCCAGTGTAACAGGCACTGTCAAGACGAGGAAATCTCGGCGCGCACCAAAACGACCAGTAGAATTCTCTCTAAGTTAGTTTTGGGGGCTCTTATAGAAAGAAAGTCAATTCAGCTCAAAATTAACTTACAGAGTGTACTGGCATAAATCGTGGTACAACCACTGAATTATGCGATTCCTGGATTTCAGGTTGAGTCCCTTCTTGTGCTTTGCCAATGATTGCTTGATGTCCAGCGGAACTTGGGGGAACCTGTACTCCGACAGGTCCCTCAGCGGAGCTCTAGATGGACCATGTTCTTCCTGATTGACGACATCCATGACCCTAGATATGCCACAATGATGAACATATAAGCCATATTGTCAAAATAGATACCTATACTCGGGGACAACTAGGAATGCAGGACGCGGGAAGAAAGAGAAAGCACACGGAAAGCTGAAGGCAGAGGAGAAACCTCCTCTCCCCTTTGGCCTTCATTGTGCTCTTTCTTTCTCCCCTTGCCATGCGTTCTTGAGTTGTCCCCGAGCATAATTGGTATATGCACCAATCCAGCTCATAAAAATGCCCCTGAAAGCCTCCACTCAAACATTTTAGCATAAAGGATTAAATCTCATCTGAAATAATTATGTCTGATGGCCTGAAAATTCTAACAAGTATAATTTGTAGCAGAAGTCTATCAACCCGCTTGGAGATGTCTCACATAACCATTGAAAACCCCGACAGCTTCAGAATGTGCACGTGCTGTGCAGAGCATATGAAAACATGTGATAATGTTTCCTTCATAATCCCACCTTCCACTGCTTTTCAGAGGTCAAACATGCCTCTCCTTGGCAAGCTCTTTTAAAACTAGCCCTGCCATGAGCATCATGGCTTGAGCAAACTAGACCTCATCGCTTCAGTCTTGGTGAGCATTTTAACCCACCTGAACTGTGCCTCGTCCATCCTGATCTTGATGCGTGCTCTGTTCTCCAGAACAACATCTTCGGTCATGTCGACATCAGTGTCAAAGCCAGCATGGTAAATCTTAAAAACAAATAAATAACCAGCAGCTAATTAGCATGATGGTAAATAAGTTATATTCCATTTGCACAAGTGGGCCCATGGAACTCTTCATCTCTACTCTACAGATGCCACATTTTTGTTGCAGCCTCCTAATCATAAGTGTCCAAAGCAGACAATAGCAGCTGCCCTCCTGTTCTCCCTAATCAGCTTAGTTCATCTTCCTCATAAGCACCATATATTCTACCTTCAATCTTCCAGACTGCAAATTGTTTTCAAATTCTATTCCAATTTATCTCTTCCCCGCACTTTAAAACCTGCCAAACCTACAAGGTTGAAAGCACGACGGTTAATGGAGCTTAAGCTTCGTGAAAGTCTACTAAATTGTTCTGCCCTAATTAAAACAAAATAAAGTAACAACTATGCTACTGAAGCATAACTGAATAAAAGTGGATATTGCCTACAAATTATTAGGCCACTGGAAACATTGCCAATATGTTCGTCGGCCATTTGCTTGAGAATTGCAGCCACCTTTGTGTGATTGAAAGTGTAGCTCAATGCTGCCCGGGTTTAAAGATTCCCCAGATGAGGTAATCAGCACTACACGAGGGGCGTTCAAAAAGAGTCCGACCTGAATTTATTCCGTAGAAAAAAATTAAGTGCTGACAATGTCCTGTAGGGGAAAGGTGGGGGGAACATTAATGCACATGCGTGAATTTTGTCACGTCTGGAGAGAGCGTGAGTCGCTGGCAGTCAGCCTCTGAGGGAAAAAATGTAGTCAGTGCTCGTCATTTTCCTGATCTCACTGACAATTGGTGGATCGCGCCCTCCCTACTTGTTCTCTGCAGCGCAAGTGAAGCCACCGGACGGCCATCTTGCTCGGATAGGATTTGCGGTTTTGCTAGACTTTTGCTGCTGTTTGCCAGCATGCTATAGACACGTTTTCTACTCGTTCGTCGTCATTCGCCGAAGAAGCTTTTAAGACTCTGCGTACCGTGGAGACTCGCCGTTGTGAACACGTGGAAAATTTTACGAAAGCGCAGTGTCGCAGGAAAAAGGCACAACTCGTTGAAAGCAAGTTTTGCCGGTCTCGCGGCAGGATTAAAGCTCCCTTGGCACGCCGAAGTGCTGCCTCTGTGTCTTCGCACGCTTGGATACTGACCAAGAACCGACGTCATGTGAATGTGTTTTGCGAGTGCAATGTGCGTGAAGCCGTATGTGCCTCTGAATCAGTGTCTCACTTTACTCTGACGACTGTATACTTGCGGCCCTTGTGGTCCAGAAACGAGATTAATCCAGCATCCACTGGCGATAGAAGAGGGGGGCCAGGTACGTCTTTTTTTTTCGTCCTTAGATGATTTACACAATACCGTGCACAACAGCTCCTCATCACTGATCAGTGCTGGCTCATTATCAACCTACTTAATTGCACTTGACGTTTGAGCGTGGCTCGCCTAATTGTAATTGGTCAACAGATTGCATACGACCATATCGGCCGCACTTGAAAGATTTTCATTCTCGCCGTCTTGTACTTTTGCCTTCGAAAATCCTCCTTGCTCCACAACGTTGCCCTATTCATGCTCCCACAAAATCCATTAGAGCAGATTTGGAACACAGCCATGGTTAATAGTACATAGGAGCAATTGCAAATCCACCCCCCCCCCCCCCTTTATTGATAGCAACTCCTGGAAGCCGCTGGACGATCCAGAACTCCGTGGCTGATATATATATGATCTAAAGCAGTAGTTCTCAAATGGGGGTTCGCATTCATCAGTCAAGCCCGGCAATAAAAGTTTTTTTTCCAGGTCGAGAAGAAATGTTTCAGTTTTTGGGCGAGTTTCCTCGTGTGCATGCCAGTAAGAAAGGTCTACTTTACACAAGCCCTTACTGAAATATATTTATTCAATTATTATTATAGTTACCCTATACCTTCCCCCTCCCCTCACCCCGAACGGGGTCCTCCATCATCTCCGCCGATCCACAAGGGGTCCGCGAAACATCAATGGTTGAGAACCACTGATCTAAAGGCACCTACGAGCGACACACCTTCAGAACTTCGGTGCGGTGTCGATTCTTGATCGGTATCCAAGCGTGCAAACGCACAAAGATGCAGCACTCGGCGTACCAAGGAAGCTTTGCTCAATTTACTTGTGCAAAAAAGTAGAGACCAACGACACTTGCTTTCGACGAGTTGTGGCTTTTTCCTGCTGCACTGCGCTTCCGTAAAATTTTCCACGTGTTCACAATGGCAAGTCTCAACGGTACACAGGGTCTTAAAAAACTTCTTTGGCGAACGACAACGAACGAGTAGAAAACGTGTCTATAGCATGCTGGAAAACCACAGCGGAACGCTACCAAAACCGCAAATCGTCTCCCGGCAGGATGGCCGTCCGGTAACCTCACTTGCAGGAGCGGGAAGCGCAATCCAGCAATTGTCATTGAGACCAGTGCCCCAGCCCCCTCAACAAATCTGGAGGTACGAATAGAGGTAGATTTTATCCAATTTACGAATGCTGCATTGGATGTAATGCAGTAATAATTCACATTTCTTTTGTATTTATATCATGGTATCATATGTAAAGCGAAACCTAGGTTGCATAGGTTACATAGGACGTAACCAATTTTATGTCAAGTTCCGTCAGACATAAATTTAATTTTCATTTTGGGTACCGTCGGATGTAACTTTAATTTTTATTTTGGGTTCCGTCAGACGTAAAGCTAGACACTGTGATTGTAAAAACGAGTTCATCCAAGCTGTGGCGTAGCTTAGTGGGAAGATGTCTGCCTCATACGCAGTGGACCGAGGTTCGATTCCCAATGTGGGCTTACTTTATTTATTTTTTTCTTGGAACATTTTGTTTTGTTTAGGCATTTGGCGATATTTACATTTAATTTTTACAATTAACACAATAAATAAAAAAATGCTGTCGACAAAATTTCGCTAAACAAAATGGTATGAGACTCTCTTTCCGCGGGTCCATGGGGGACAGCGGGACTTGGTTTGCCGGCTGGACGCCGCGAAGCGGGGCCAAGTGGGTTAATAAGTTTTGTAATTAGCGGCCGCATACTGTCGCCGCGAAGCGGCGTGAACGCAGGTGGGTTAACGAGCTTCCCAGTGATACACGCGCCGTCCGACTTTCTTTCGAAAGGCACTTCTTGGCGCGAGTGGAGTGCCGTCGGACGGCACTGTAGACACAGCCAAAATAAAAAAAAAAAATCGAAAAGCATAATTGTACAACACACACAACACTGATCGCACAAAAAAGGAAGATCCATGTGCTTACCAGAATGTGGCTTGTGTTAAGATCGAATCCCTGAAAGAGTTCTTTTTGCGCAAGGCTACTAATTAGATCGGGTCGCTTCCGCTCTCCTCCCACATTAACCACCACCTTGTGTGCGCCGTAGACCACCAAGCACTCGATTACGTCCATTGCGCGAAGTCTTCAACATGCCAATCACGACGAAAGTGACAAACTCTGTGACTCCGCAATCCGACATCCGCAATCCGTACAAAGGGAACTTCATCTCTCTCCCGGATTCTGGCTCCCACAATGCACACAAGTATTTGACGCGCACAGGAACACAGAATGCTAAGCTCCAGTCTTTCCATCCTTTCCACCAGCGGGTCCGATACGTGGGAACCACTCTCTCCCGACTCTGGCTCGCACAACGCGCACATGAGTAGGCAGTAGACCCGTAGACCAGTATTACAGAGAGAGGGCGAGAGAAGGTGTTTGGAAAGAAAGAGATAGTTCTGTAGACCGGTAGACTCACTGATGGGAGTCGTGCTAACTATCTTTGGGTGAGAGGGGTGGGAGTGAAAGATCAGTAGAAAGAAGTGAGATTAGGTAGAGGTCCGGGAGTGGTCACAGAGGTGCGGGCGGAAAGCGCCCGTGGAGGGCCGAAGACACAGGCGAGTCGCGACACAGAGTTCACGGGCACACACGGGCGGGCGCAGGCGTAACAGGGGCGACAGGAGGCCAGCGCGGGAGCACGGCGGAGGCACGTGATCACTCCGGGAGTGGGGCAGGGTCAGCCGAGTCAGTCACGGACACAGCAGAAGGCAAGGGCGGAAGGGGCACGGCGGAGGCACGTGATCACTCCGGGAGTGGGCCAGAATCAGCCGAGTCAGTCACGCAATGGGAATACAAGGCATTAGCGCCTTTAGTCTCCTTTCCACCAGCAACAGCGTGCGTAAAAATTACGAAAAACAAAAAGTGTCTGTGTGTGTGTGAGGGGGGGGAGGGGAAAGAAAGGGGTAGGTTTTTAGGTTTGGATTGGCCTGGATTGTTACTTGTTGCAGATAATGTTTTTTTTTATCATCTTTGTTGGTTATAGAAATTCACAGTTTCCAATATTTTTTTTATTACCATGTGTTGACAAAATAACGTGTATTTACAATACTGTATTTACGTATATAAACACCGAGAGACTCGCACATCAGTGCACCACATCACCGATATAATCCAAAGGCTGACAAGCCAAAACCGAAACCGAGCCGAGCTGAGCTGAACAGCCCTCCGCAGCGCGCAAGAACCTTTTTGGCAGCGCGGGTGTTTGCGGGGTGCTTTTGTTTTTCTTTCTAAAAATGGTAATAAGGCATTGCCCCAGGTGTCCTTACTTTTCCGACCAATTTACTAAAGTCCTTAACCATATTGGCTTTGTGCATGGTGCTGAAAACAACTTCTCAATCTTGTGTGGAATCGACGGATGCCCGAGCAGCTACAAGCTGTTCTCGTCATACCGAACTCATATTTATCGATGTCACAAGCAAGTGCTTCGTGAGACTGGAAGCAACTTAAGCACCGAAAAGACAGATGAGGACGCTCAGAACTTTCGAGACGACGGCAGTGATGCCGACATGGCACAAGCTCCAGACACGGACACAATGGGTGCTTCATCGGAAAGCAACGAGGAGTTCCTGGATTTTTTAGGAGAAGCCCGAGGCGCGATCTGGAACTTTTTTTTTAATGTGACCGAGAACTGCAAGCTGCCCCACACTGTAGCAGAAAAGGTGTTCAGCGATCTGCAACTCGTCTTTGAACAGATAATGAAGGCGTTTGCTAACGAAATGGCATCCAAGCTTGATCTGTCCGCCATGTCTCCCGATGTGCTCTCGCTGCTCAGATGTTCGTTCCTGCCGGACCTCTTCAAAGGAATCCAGAGCAGACATCTGCGGGAGCAGTATGCCAAAGCACATTCCCCCTATGTAGAACCAAGGAAGTGTGAACTCGGTTCCCATGGTGACAAATATCACTATGTGCCACTACCAAGAGTCCTTGAAAAGCTCTGCGAGGTGCCCGACATTGCTGCCCAGCTCATGACACGACAAGCGCGCTGCGACGACCCTAAGGTGTACAGAGACTACACGGATGGTCTTCTGTTCCAAAGCATCAAGGACCTCATCCCCGATGGCACCCAGTACACCATCTTCATCCTGCTGTACAGTGACGAGGTTGAAATTTGCAACCCATTAGGGGCAAAGCGTGGGGTGCATAAACTGCTGGCAGTTTATTTTACCCTGCTAAACCTCCATGCGAAACACAGGTCCCAGCTGAGATTTATTCACTTGGTGCTTCTTGCCAAGTATGATGACGTCCAGACCTATGGCCTGGAGAAGGTTCTGAGCCCGTTGATTGAGGATATCAACGAACTAGGAATGTGTGGAGTGAGGTTCATTGACAGAGGGCAAGTACAGAATGCACAGGTCTTCGTGTTTTGTGTTTGCGGTGACAACCTTTCCATGAATCGACTTGGAGGATTCACGTGCTGCTTTAGTCGAGGCAGGGTGTGCCGCTTCTGTATGGCATCTTCTAAACGTCTGCCAGAGCTAACCACAGAGGACTTTTGTACTATACGTACAGCTCAGGCCCATGAGGGACACCTGCAGGCCGTCTCTCTCAACCCCAAGGCCAACAAGAAACTGTATGGCGTGAATGAACGCTCTCCCATGCTGGAAGTGCCATATTTTGATGTGACGCGACAACTTCCCCCAGACCTCATGCACGACATTTTGGAAGGGGGCTTTGAGTGTGTGCTTCGGCCGGTTCTAAATGCGCTCATCGAGGATGATGTATTGTCGTACAGTGATTTGGACCGCATCACTTCGTTTCAGTATGGGGCAAATGACAGCAAAAACAAACCTGTTGCGATTAACAGGTCCTTCTTGACTCGCAAAGCAAGCCTGAAAGGCACCGCAACTGAGAAGTGGTGTCTTCTCAGGCTCATGAGCATAATCCTTGGTGACCTGGTGCCAGAAGAGAATGCTGACTGGGAATTATACCTTCAGTTCCGTGAAATTGTAGACATCTGCTTTGCAACAGTCATTCCCAGTGAATACCTTCCCTACCTGGAAACGGCTGTGCAGGCTTTTCTTTTGGCGTTCGCAGAGCGATACGGAACTGCAGCTATAATTCCCAAGCTGCATTTTCTTGTTCACTATGCAAGGTTCATCCGTGAAGTTGGACCACTGCCACAGTTCTGGTCCATGCGGTTTGAGGCTAAGCACCAATACCTCAAGAGCCTTGCCTCGCGTATCAAAAACTTCCGGAATGTGACACTGACGTTGTCGAAACGACATCAACTGCTGCAAAGCCACCAGCTGAAGGATATGTCGTTGGCCGCTGAACTCGTGGCCTCGTCTGGCAAACCGGTCGAGCAGAATGCCCTGCCGGCCTGTGCTCAGGGTGTGCTACCATTGGATGCACACCAGGTGACACATGCAGCAGTGGACCACCGCAGCTACAGGTGTGGTGACATTCTTGTCAGAGCTGCACAGAATGATGGGCCAGAATTTTGGAGAGTTGAGGCTCTGTATGTTGCCTCAGGCAGACTGCTAATCTTGGTTGAGACATTGACCAATGAAGGGTTTGACAGACACAGGTTCTGCTACAATGTGGGTAGGTCTAGCCACCGAAAACTCGTGGAGGCTGAGGAGGACGACACCCTACACTGTGCTCTGGACTTGTACAACGGCAAGGAAGTTGTTGTCAAATGGGAGGTGGTTTAATATTTGTATGCTATTGTTGGTGCTAAAATTACTGTAAATATATGTGGCAGCGGTAATAAATATAAAGCATGAGCCATGGTCAATTGTCTTGTTTTTTTTTCACCACAGCAGTTCGGGGCTCTACAAAATCTCATCATGAGCCAACTCGTCTTGCGTACCGTAACATCCCGAGAAATATCCCACCTAAAATTGAGAGGATATTTGCGGAAAATCAGGAGTGGGCTAACCTCCGGTGTGCAATCAAGAAAGGTTAAAACAGTTCAATTTTTAAATAATGGGTTTCCGTCAAACTGTTATCGCGGCGAGGGGCAATGAAGCAAAGATGACTGTACTTCAGCCAGCAATGTTCGCTTATATCCAGCAATACCTAACTAGAAACATTTACGCCGAGGTCATACTTGTTCCCAACACTGAGGGGTGAGCTACATTTCGGTGCTTAAAAGAAAATTGCAAATCAAGCCAAAAATAGGTGTGGGTTACCTCTTGGGTGTGCGGTACGTTTCGGGATTTTCAGGTAAACTGGTCAAATAAGGCAACTCGTCGGAGTCTACCTTGTATGTAGGGAGGTCATTATGGTGGGAAACGGTGCTAGCCCATTCAGCCAACATTTGTTTCCTTACTGCATACACCTTTGAGCCACAACTTGAGTTGTTATTGATACATTTCCAAAGTGATAAAAACAATGTGTGATGGAATCCCTGCAGTGCCTAGAGAATATGTTAGGTACAACACCACATTGGGTTTTGTTCAATTTAGGACTTGGTGCTGGTGAGTGACATTATCAGAACATGCCACTTTCCAGGGTTGCTAAAACGGAACGGCAAGCACACCTGCAATTTGGAGCTTTAGGGTTCATGTTTCTTACATTCGGTGGCATATGTGAAGAGATCTGCAGTGCCCCTCAATCAAATAAAAACAGAAAGAGTAAGCATAGGGACGGACAGAACAGCACCTCTTTCGACTTTCAACACAAATAGCTTTATTAGGCACTGGCACCCAGCCCAAGAGACCCAAATGTTGGTGCCGGTGCCTAATAAAGCTATTTGAGTTGAAAGTCGAAAGAGGTGCTGTTCTGTCCGTCCCTATGTTTACTCTTTCTGTTTTTATTTAACTTCACAAACGCGCTCACATCGAACTAACCCTCAATTAAATTGCTCAAGCTGCACTTTTTGTGGCGTTCAGATATTAGGAAGCAGGAATGATAACACAACTTAAGTGAACCCCTAGCAATCAATTCGGTAGCACTTGCCTTCAAAACTCACAAAAGTTTTAGAAGCACTCCAGAAGCTGCCTACATTCAACTAAATTTTTCTGGACCACTCATGACCTTTGATAAACTGTCTGCACTGAATAGTTTGTCTCACACACACACATCTCTGCTCTTTCTTAAACTAGAGATTGATAGCAAGAAGCTTTGCATCCACTTAAGTCTATCAGGATGCCAGGAGATCCAGCCAAGTCGTTGAGGGACAAGTCGTCAAAGGACAATTGCTCGAATGGGCCAATTTGTACAGGGCAACCTGTCGAAGGGCGATTCGTCGAAAGGGCTAACCTGTTGAAATGAGATTTGTCGAATTGTCCAGTACATGGTACAAGGTAAAGCTTGTTTCTTGCTACATTTGCCCCAAGTTTCATTTCCTTTCATTGCAAAGAGAATGTCCTGATCAGAGGGACTATGTTCGACAAATGTTTTGTTTCTCCTAAAAAGAAACGGAAGCGACGATATCGCGTCTGATTGGCTAGAACAGGGGTGACCAAGCTGCGGCTCGTGAGCCGCATGCAGCTCTTCGTGTGTTAAAGTGCGGCTTGCAGCTCCACCCCCCTACCCCCCCCCCTCCATACACACACACACACTCCCCGCCCTCCCTCCCGATCAGATGAGCACTTCCCCAAAAAGAGAAATGGAACGCAATTTAAATCGAAAGACAGGTTGCAGTTTGGTAGTCGTGTGCTACTGGTACCTTACGTACAGATGGACTGCTTTTGACTTGGATAGATTTATCTTTTATTGTTCTGGACAAGATTCCCCCCCACCCCCTCCCCCCTGCGGCTCTTGGAAGTTTCGTGGTTTTGTTTGCAACTCTTAGGCCGGGTCAGCCTGGCCACCCCTGGGCTAGAAGCTCAAATGACGAAAGACGGAACTTCTGTCATTTGGGCCTCTAACCAATCAGACGCAATATCGTCACTTCTGTCACTTCCCTTTCTTTTTAGGAGAAACGAAACATTTGTCGAACATAGCCCCCAAGGTTACCGAGTTGAAAGGGAACTCACAAGAGAGTGAAGACAGGACGAGACGATGAGACAAGTAGAGATCTGTCTCATCCCACCATTATATATTCTCCTTCTTACTTTCAACTTATTTTTGTTTAGTTGAATGCCTGTGGGAAGGAGATGTTTTTGTTGTTTCTCTTTCCTTCTCTTGTAATTGCGTGAGCTTTCTTCTTTTCTGTCGATTGTTGTTGAAATTTATATAATTTTACTTGTTATATAGATTTCTGCATAGTTTGGGGACAATGTGCATTGTCCAGTTTCTGTCCTCCTTCGGGTTTTGTTTATTATGAACAGTTTTCAGCTGCAGTCTTTTGAATTGTAGCTGGTTATGGGATGGTACGCCGCACCTGATAAGGGTCACCATCTAGCTCCTTCTACACTATTTGAGACAATCAAAGTTCGAGTTTGGTCTTATCTTGTTTGCTGGTGATGGAGTTTCTGCACATAAAATTTCTAACATGTGCCTGTGTTCTGAGATAGGAGCTAAATGCAATGCAGCGACTGAATGGCCCTTTAGACGAGTGGTGACAAGTTGGACTTTTCGACAAATTGCCCCTCAACGAGCACCCTACTTCGAATAGCCCGATTCAACCAATTGCTCTTCGACGAATTGGTTTTCGACGATTTGGCCTAGACCCCAGTGTCAGTGCAGGCCCACGCCTCGATTTTTGCTTCCTATTGTGGTCACAAAGGAACAACCTTTATGTCAGGCTCGTGACCTTCACTATCTGTCTAGTCTTGTAGGCATGGGAATACCTTCAACTAGCACAGTGTATTGAAATTGTCTGAGAAGTAACTGCAACACCATCATCATTACATCGATCTGCATGATGCCTCCAATAAACTGTTTGTTTCCACTCAATGCAGCGACGTCTTGAGGATAAACCCAGGATGTAAAATAGAAGGAGGCAAATCGTCTTGAGTGCATCCAGTGATTGAGCCCTTGACCCGGCGCTTTGGAAGCCGAAACAGAGCCTCAGCGCCACAAAGGCTGCCAGTCAAACAAAAAAGAAACAGTATTTGCTGCGTTGGATTCTAGCAAGTTGTTTTGTGGAAAAATTTTAATAGCTAGTTTAGGGAAAAAAAGATTTTAAAATCATTTCATTAAGCTACATCAGTAATGTTTGACATTCAGATACTCGTTTCCATAATACAACTAAAATATCCAAGAAGAAGATGTGGGGGTCCCATTTGAAATGTCTCCTTAATTGGTTGACAAACCTTCCATGACATAAGCGATGATGCAAAGTCTACCCGTGAGAAAGATGTAGTTCAACCTGAGACATCAACTCCAGAAAAAACTAAGGAATGAATGCTTCACCGAATATGAAAAGGTGGTGCATGTTTACATCATGCTGTCTATCAGATCAAAAAAAGTTTATTTATAAAGGTGAGATGGGATGATTACGGATGAATGGAGAGGGAGAGGGTGTGGTTAGATGAGGTGTGTGAAGTTCACTGCGTTAAGGTAGGTGGGTGAAGAGTCCAGGATCTCGATCCTGCGTGGGTCTTTGCTTGGAGTTACCCAGTCCTGATACATTTGAAGTCGTGCATTTTGCGGAATGATGAGGAGTGCGTCGTGCCTTTGTGGCTTGTTTACCTTGCATTCATAGACTAGATGTTTACATGTAGCCGGGGTTTCGCATGTCGTGCAGTTAAGGTTGAGACCAGGGTCGTCTTCGTCGTGCAATCTGTAAATATTCCTTTTCTGCACAGGTGTTAGGCCTGTGTTGGTGGCAATGCATCACAGGCATACCTTCCCCCACCTTGAGTAATGGGATTAAAGAGGGAAACCTCCGCACATCTTTGATCGCCGATAGATAGAGATGTCGTTTCGGGGCCAATACACCATAGGAGAACAGTGTAACCCACCTCACTGGGGGTGAAAACTGGTGTCACTCAGTTCATTGAATGACGTTTCCCCGACAGTTAATTTCCCTGACACGCGATGTTTCATCGACAGCTTCTTTTTTGCGACATAGCCTTGGAAATATACTATTCGGTGGCATTCATACCGCGAGCATGTGAAGAGGGCTTCGGGGGCCTCATTTAACGAAACGGCGGCACACTCCCTCATTATTAAACCCAGTTTGCTTAATGATTGGCGGTTCAGACTAGGTGCGGTGCGATAACTCGAGCATGAGATTAAATTGAAACTCCCCGAGCCAGTGGCATCACCAGGAGGGGTAGAGGGAGGGAGGGAGGGGGGGGGGGCGACAGTTCCGGGTGCTGCGCTCGGGGGAGCTAGGGGGGGGGGGGGGGGGATGCAGCTGGGCAGTGAAGAGGGGGGGTGGTGCAATGACAAAGAATTATGCACCGGGTGCCACTGACCTCAGCAACGCCACTGAACCGAGCGTAGTGAAGCTAAGCAAGGGGTCACCGTGCGAAATAGCGGTCTGTTTGGTAGTCTACCTTACCGCTACGAACCCGAAGGGCGCCCTACTACGGCGCCGGTATCCGAGAGTACGCTATCGATGAAACGATAGGGACCCGTGTCTCCGTGTTTGTATCGACACACGAGCTTTCTGGGCGCTTACAAAACGCCACTCATTTGTTACTTCGTTCACTCCACGTCCGTGTTCAAATTCAAGCGGCTACTGCGACACCGTTTCCAGAGCTGCTTGTCGCCGCACGGTCATAGCCAAGGAAACAAAACACTCTGCCCTTCCGCGCTTGCGCCCCGGTGACCGCGCCGATGTCCATCTGCAGCGCCGAGAGGTTTGTGTGTC